TCCCAGCTCCTCGAAAGCGCTTTGCTGTGCCTGCTCCGCCAGAGCACCCTCCAGTGCCAGCGCCACGTAAGCGCTACCATGATCCCCAGTTCAGCCCAGGAAGGGCTCCTGTTCCCGAGTATAGCCCAGGGAGGGCTCCTGATCCCCAGTTCAGCCCAGGGAGGGCTCCTGATCCCCAGTTCAGCCCAGGGAGGTCTCCTGTTCCCGAGTATAGCCCAGGAAGGGCTCCAGATCCCCAGTCAAGCCCAGGGAGTGCTCCAGATCCCCAGTCAAGCCCAGGGAGGGCTCCAGATCCCCAGTGAAGCCCAGGGAGGGCTCCAGCCCTAGAGCTCGCTCCAGTGCCCGCTCCTCGTAAGCGCTTTCTAGAGCGCCATCTAGTGCCCGCTCCTCCAGAGCGCCCCCAAGATTCCTAGATTTCCCCAAGAAATTTTTTTTGGGGGGGGGCCATATACCCATGGCCGAGCCAGCTAAGGCCACGCTCCCCCATGGCCTCCTGAGTCCCCCGCTCCGCCATGGCCTCCTGAGTCCCCTGATCCGCCATGGCTCCCTGATCCACCCTGGAGGCTTTCCTTGTCTCCGCCCTGTTCCAGTCCTGCACCAGCCTCCAGGGCGCCCCCCGGGCGCTCCCCCCTCCCCTGATGGTACTGTTACGGCGCGGGACGCGGCATCCAGGAGGGGGACGATCTGTCACTTGTATGTTCCCGTTTAGTTCCTGTTGTCCTTATTTGGTCCTTCCAGTTCCTTTTCCCATTATTAGTATCACCTGTTCCTTGTTATTAGTTATCCCCATCACCTGTCTGCCCCTCGTTATCTGCCCTATTTAGTTCTAGCCCGTTCTGTTCTCCCTTGTCTGGAATTGTTTGTCAACTCCTTGTGCTACGTGTGATTCCCTGAAAAAAAGAATTAAACTCCTTTGTTTTGTACTCCTGGTCTCCTCGTTCCTCGCTCCGTGCTCCTCACAGTAGCAACCCGTGACAATAATATTTTTTGTGCACAAAGAAAACAAAAATAATGACTTTATTCAACAATTTCTTCTCTTCCAATCAGCCTCCGCAGTCATTCACGAAAATACCATGACACTGCTAATATAGGAGACTGGGTTCTGACTTAGAACACGCATGCGCTGTGCCTTGTTTACAAACAGAGAAATGCACATGCATTTTTTTTTTTCAATTTCTACAGATGTTATTATTATTTTGCCCATTATAATTGTGTAGTGTAAAATCTGATATTGTGACAGCCCTAGTCTTTATACAGTACATTAGCCCATTATCGTACGTGATTTGTGTTATAAAGTTTTTTAATTTGATGACACTTTTATGCATTAAGGCTAGTGATGTGAGAAAGCAAAATGATATGTTCATACAGTCGACAGAAACATAAATCAGAAATGCATTCGATTTCAGTTCTGTTTTTTATTGTCACTGTAATACATATTTTATTATTTTCATTAGATAATCGCCAATGTTCTAAAATAGAAGCAACTAAAGTAGGAGAATATACACACAAAACACATGTATCTAATTTAAGTGCTATGACATTTGTGTAGATATTTAAATATGGCCATCTTTAAGCACGAGTGTTTGGATTTGTATGAAGTGGAAACAATTTACAATAATAGTCGATTTGTAACATTAACTATGCTGTAGAATTACTGTTCATTGTTAGATTGTTAATTTAATTATTTACTAATACATTTTTACATTTTAAAAGTGTATCTGTTCAGCACTATTTTACCTGGAGTGTTATGTTTGTTTTCATTTCAGTATTCATTTTAAAAACTATCTGTTGATTAACCAGTTTTAGAGCATTTCAAGGATGTAAAATCTGGATGCTGCGCAAGCACAGTCCAACCTAGTTATTATTATCGGTAAAATCCACTATTGGTCAACCTCTATACCTAAACTAAATTTACCATGTCATAAAGTCAAATTATCAGAGACATAAGCTTACTGACCTTAGCACACAGTCATAAGAGTTCTATTACATTGCTTTTCAATTACTTTGGAGAGTTGGCTTGGCAGAGATCTTAACATTAGCTGTGTGTGGAAAAGGCTGAACGCATATGTGTGTACGTATGTGCTTTTGTCTCTATAACTCCTCACGAGCATCCTGTTAGATATTCAGCTCTGAAAATGTGACCTTTGTCCTCGACTGCCCTGACCTCCACCATTTGGGTGACTGATGGCGAGCAA